AAAAAAAAAAAAAAAAAAAAGAGAGAAAAGAATGTTTTTTTAAAGCTAGAAATGACAAATCAACTTTTTTTCTAGATTTAAATTTGAGCTGCAATGTCCCCACTTTAAAAAATATTTTACAAACATCTTTCCCATTTCTTACTGCTGCTTCTACCACCCTCACCCTCACAGAACTTTTTTTTTTTTCTGGTACGAGAAATCGAACTCAGGACCTTGTGCTTTCGAGGCAAGCGTGGTGCCACTGAGCTAAATCCCTGGTGCCGAAAACATGTTTCAAAACCCGTGCAGATTATCCTTTCTAGCACAGGCCACTTGCACATGCTGCAGTCTCTCCATTTTATAGAAATTACCCGTGGAAGTACATTCCTTTCCTTGTGGATTTTAACACAGTTTCAGTTCACTGCTTTCAATCATGTGGGCACTTTCTCTATCTCTTGAGCACATAAAATTCTGAAGTGTGTGGTGGGAGAAATTGACCCATGGACAAACTGCCCAGTTAGGACCTCTAACAACACTGTTTTGCACATGTGATCTCCATAAAGCAGGAGGGCATCTTAAAAAAAAGAAATCAGGCTCTGTGCTCCTTTCAGTGTACTTTGACAGCCTCCTTCTTTTCTGGCGTTTAAATGAACGCCTGAACTAGGATAACAAATGCTGCTCCAGATGGCAGGCGGTGGGGGGGGACCTTGCTCAGTAGCCCCATTTTTACCTCTTATTCAGGCAGCAGTAGATGATGGGGTTGTACATGGTGGAGCTCATGGCCAGCCAGAAGCTGGCCAGGTAGACCTGCTGGATGTATTTCCACCTGTTCAGCTGCTGGTAGACGGCAGTGAGGATGAAGTAAACATGATAGGGGAGCCAGCAGATGGCAAAGGTCACCACGACAATGATCATCATTTTTACAACCTGGGGAGAAAGAAGTCATTTTGGGGACATTAAAAAGTGGATGTAATAATTTCAATAGCTTGCTGCAAACCGTAGCTTTCCACCTAAAACACACAGCATGTCTGAGGAATAGTCAATATATTAAACATGGTGAAGACTACTATACAAAGAGACATATTACGTAGATGTTATGTATGGAAAGGCATGAAGAAAGTGTGTTGTGCCTTGATTCCATCTCTACTCACCCAGTGATGAATGCCATTGGCGTAAATGTAAACAAATGTATTTTAATTAGCCTGGAAGAAGTGTTTACAGAAGCCCATAGATCCACTGGAGACAGAAGCAGGAGTGCATTTCATACAAGAGCGGAACCATTATATTTAGGGAAACCAACTAAATCACTAGGTGTGCCCCGTAAGGGGCAGTGGCTGGGCTGCTCTCTACTATGTAGTATAGTCTGGTTGTAGCTTAAGGCCATACAGATTTCTTTCACACCATGATCAGTAGGCAAACTTCTCGATTAATTTGGTTTCTCATATGCTGGAAAAATTGCCTTACGTACTGACTATGAATACTCACAAAAGTCTGAAGAATGCTCATTAGTTTTAAGTGTGTAAATAGGCAATCGGCTCATACGACTGTCTAATAATTGGAGTTTATTAATCATAAGCCATTTCTTGTGATTCCATCATTTTGAACCATAGTATCGTGGAAGGCCATGGTCACAGTTATATGTTTGGAGCTCAACAAATACAGAATGTATGAATGATAAATGACAATGTAGCATTTGTACAAGAGTTTGAGTTGTGCATCTCTAGTCTGTGTCTAAAAAAATAAGAAAGCTAGAACCAAAGGCACTGAAGACACTGAACAGCACAGCTTTGTGTATAGTACTTTCTGATTATCTTATTTCATGTATCATGATAAATCAGTCTCATACACCTAGATTTTATTTAATATCTAGAATAAGGTATATTAAAATAATTTTGAGGCTTACCAGTAGTCAGGTTAATAAAAACCAGAGGAAATCCTACAAGGCAGGTTAGAACTAGGAGAATAATTATTTATGATCTGGTCTTGTCATTTTGACCATAAAATCGCGAATTCTGATGCAAGTTGCCAAGATTAAGAGTCATGAGAGACATTCTATAAATAGACAAAGCAGGAAATGGATCACTGTAGAAGGTGAATGTTCCCTCAGGGCCTACCCACTGTACCACCCAGGTGACCAGGGCTGACCTGATGGGAAATTGGCCACTGGAGCAAAGAAATCTGGGTCAACAGCTCATAGAATGCCATCATCGGGTGCCCATGTAAAGTCTTTTTATTTCCTCAGGAATTGTCAGACTGTATTTTTTTTCCTGAAGAATGACATTCAAATTTCTGCATGTTGTCTCATATTTATTATACTTATGTATTTGTGGAATATATTAAGAGCCATATTTTAATTCACATACATGCAATATTGCACATGTTTACCAAGTTACTGGTTTTTAACTGCACATTAGACACTGAGGAAAGATTAAAAGACTTGGCCACTGTGATTCATGGGTTTTTACCATTCAGACTCTGAAATCTTCTTTTCCTTCTTCTGGTTGAAAACATTTGCTGAATATCAATTTTGCCTGAGAAATCACAGTGGGAAATACAATGATAGAGGACAAATGCCTCACTTTGAAGCTTACAGTATAATAACAAAAGTAAAAATGTAAAATCCTTGTTAAACAGCAATAAAATGTGAGCACAAAAATATTTCATTGCATCTGAAAATAATATTTTGAGAGTGTACTTGTTTATTGTGATGAAGAATGTCTGAATGGTGTCTGCTAACTGTAGTCTGAGGGGATGCGAAATGGAATGAAATAGGTTTATTGACAGTTTCATCCTTGAATATAGGAACAGTCTTACTCTTCCTGGAGAAGCTCCTGCCAATCTCTCACCTTTGAGCTTTCTCTCCGGCTCCTCCCTTTGCCTGGAATGCTCTGCCACTGATTATTCTTATGGCTAACTTGCTCATTTCCTTAGTCTCTGCCCAACTGTCATTTTTTTCCTGTGAGTCCTGTTTTGACCAGCATATTTAAAAATCAAATCTGTCCTTCCTGTACAACTGGAAACCATGAACTTGCTCTTTGTTCTCAGTTATTTGTTGAGTTTTAATTTACTTTTTGTTTTCTCATGCCAGAATATAAAAGACATTTCTGCTTGTTTTGATGTGTTCCAGACACTTAGACAGCACTCACAGTGAAGAGTGACCAAGTCAGGGATTGTGATGCCCTTGCCTTGCCTTTGTCACCCAGAATTGCTTTTGCTATTCTAGGTCTCTTCTGGTTTCAAATGAATTTTAGGATTGTTTTCTCTAGTTCCGTGAGCTATGCTATTGATATTTTGATTGGGATGCATTAAATCTGTACAACAATTTTAAGAGTATGGCCCTTTTACTATGTTGGTTCTTCACACCCAAAAGCAAGGGCTATCTTTCCATTTTCTGATATCCCCTCTGATGTCCTTTTTCAGAGTACTGTAGTTTTTAATGTTAAGATCTTTTACTTCTTTTGTTGGATTGACTCCTGAGTGTTTTTTTTTTCTTTTTTTGTTATCAGGGATCAAACTCTGGACCTTGCACTTGCAAGGCAGGCAGTGGAACCACTGAGCTAAATCCTGGGCCCAGTATTTCATTGTTTTTGATGTTACTGTGCGAAATGCATGGTTTCCCTAATTCTTTCTCCATGGGTTTTTTTTGTACATAGGAATGCTACTGATTTTTGACTGTTGACTTTGTATCTGGCTGTGCTACTGAATTTAGTTATTAAATCTAGGAGTCTTTTGGTGTAGGTTTTGGTGGAGTTTCTTCTATGTAGAAAACATATTATCTGAAAATAATGATAATTTAACTTCTTCCTTTCCCATCTTTATTCCTTTTACTTCTTTCTCATCTAATTCCTCTGGCTAATGTTTCCAGCACCATATTGAATAGGAATGGTGATAGTGGGCATCTTTGTCTTCTTCCTGATTTTAGAGTAAAAGCTTTCAGTTTCTGATCACTTAGTAGGATGTTGGCTGTCCATTTGTCATAGATGGCTTTTGTAAGATTGAGATAAAGACCATCTGTTCCAATTTTCTGTAGGATTTTTATCATGAATGGGTGTTGGACTTTGTGAAATGCTTTTTCTAAATGTCTTAGAATTATACTACAGAGCTTCTGTGATAAAACCAGCACGGTACTGGCAAAAACAAAAATAAATACAAAAATGAAAACAGATCTGAGGGTCAATGGAACAGATTAGAAGAATTAGAAACAACTCCAAATACAATCAGCCGCCTTATCTTTGACTAAAGGGCCAAACACCTTCACTGGAAGAAAGATAGCCTCTTTAATAAGTGGTGCTAGAAAAATTGTCCTCCCACATCTCAAAGACTACAAGTAGACCCACGTCTGTCACCATGCACTAAAGTAAAACCAAAATGGATCAAAGATATAAACATTAAAAAAGAAACACTGAACTGGGTGAAAGAGAGAGTAGGTAGAACTCTTGAAGACATAGGTATAGACAAAGACTTTATGAATAAAATTCTGGTTGCGTGGCAAATATTACAAAGAATCAACAACTGAGATCTCATTTTATTGAAAAGCTTTTGCATAGCAAAATGAATCACCAACAGAGTGAAGAGAGAACTCACAGAGAGGACAACAGTTTAGCCAATTGTTCCTTAGACAAAGGACTAATATCTAGAATATATAAAGAACTAAAAAAAACAACAAAAAACCCAGAACTCCCCAATTTAATGACCCAACCCAAAAATGGGCATCTGAGATAAATATACACTTCACAAATGAAGTAGAAACAGCAAATAAATATAAGAAAAAATACTCAACATCTCTGGTCATTGAGAGATGCAAATTAAAACAATGCTGAGATTCCATTTCATCCCCAAAAGAATGGCTGCTATGGAGAAATCAACCATTAACAAATGCTGGTGGGATGGTAGGGAAAAAAGAACCCCTCTCCTCTGTTGTTGGGAGTGTAGACTGGAGCAACCACTATAGAAATCAGTGTGGAAATTCCTCAAAAAGCTAGGACTTGAGGTTCCATTTGAACCAGCAATTTCTCTTTTTGGTATCTTCCTGAAAGAAATGTATCATATCACAGTGATATATACACACGCATGTTTACAGACACACAGTTTGTAATAGCTAAATCTTAGAAACAGCTCAAACGCCCATCTACCATAAAGATTTTTAAAAAACAACGGAGTATTATCCAACCATAAGGAAGGATAAATGAGATATTTCTAGGTAAATGGGTGCACCTTGAGCCCATTCTCTTAAGTGAAATAAATTGGACATGTGTAAATGTCACCAGTGTGAGAAACTGAATGTGTATATAAATACAACGTTGTATAAGAGATATTGTGAAATAGGACGAAAATTTTGAATGGGAAGGGGAGAGGGAAGTGGAGGGGGAAAAGGGAGGAAGGGAAAAAATGAGAAAAGAAGGATAAAATGACAACAAAGCTTTTTTGTTTGTTTGTTTGTTTATTTGTTTTTTTGAGACAGGGTCTCACTATGTAGTTGAGATTGACCTGGAACTCACTATGTAGCCCAGGCTGGTCTGGAAGTCACAGTGTTCCTCCTGCCTCAGCTTTCCGAGTGCTGAGATTACAGGCATGCTCCACCATGCCCGGCTTGCAATAAAGCTTTGGTAAATAAGAAGAAAAGGGGTAGAAGGGAGGAGAGGGAATGGGAAAAAAAGAAGTATCATGAACAGGTACAAATTCCATGTTTGAATGTGATCATTTTATATATCTAAATAGTACCGATAAACTTAATTAAAAATAAAGGGTGGGGCTAGGGATTAGTTCAGAGGTTCCCCGCCTGCCTCACATGCCCAAGGACCCGAGTTCGATCCCTGGTACCAGAAAACAAATAAACAAACAAACAAAAAAACAAAAAATGAAAAAAACCAAAGAGTGATCAGAAAGTTTTAAATAAATGAATGAAAACAAATAAAAAATGAAAGAAC